TCGATATCATCTGCTTTGATCAATGTCTTTAAATGAATTTCAATTGAATGTAGACATGTTGCATTATAAACCGCACTGTATTTTTTTTAGATCTTCTATAGAAAATACATTAATAATAACTGTATCAACATGGATCAATTGCATTCTGTGCAAAATATCAAGTATTCTACTAGTTATTTTTATGTGATGTAGTATGTATATGAAGAAAATTTCCTATTAACTGAAGAACATCTTTTATTATTGCCTTGTGGTGTTACCTTTTCAGTGATTTTTTTGAGTTCTTGGTGACGAATTAATCACTCTTCTTATTCACAGTGATACTCTTAAATGCTTGGTGATGAATCAATCACTTATTCTATTTTTAGTGATTGTTTTTAAAGTTTAGTGATGAATAAACGTCTGATCGCAATTTTTTGAGCATAACGTCAGTGGAAAATGGTTCGCGAAAAACTAAAAGGGAGTTCTAATTGAAGTTTACGATGTTTGAGTGATTGAGTTCTACATTTTGTGTGTAAAATCTAATCACTGGTGCTTATTTTGGACACCTAGTTGCTAAAGCATCACCACTAGTTAGGATTTTATCACACAAGTTGGCCATGGTGTCAGCGATAGAATAGCAAATAATTATATATGACAGTATTTTAAACGTAAGAAAGTTCGATTTATTTCAAGTATGAAGCATAATTCCATACATATATCTAAAATGAGACGTTCCCAAAACTCAACATCAGGTTCAGGAACGTAGCTTCAATTGGCTCAGACTCTGATCACGTGCGGGTAAACAATTAGCACCATAAAAAACAACTTACATCTGTAACATCCAAGATCGCCGGTATAGTATAATGGCTAGTATACCACGTTGTGGCCGTGATGATGCAGGTTCGATTCCTGCTACCGGCATCTTTTTCCCCGCTTCTTGGATGTGGTGCATATAGACAAATATTTCTTCTAGATTTAGAAACTACTTACAAGGTCATTTTTGATTTGGCTGAGTTTCGATAAGTTACATGTAATCAACTGAAATAGTTGACCATGTATTTTTTAGCAAAAAAACCCTCCTCCTTAAACAGAACAACTCAAAATGAAAAGTCGTGCGAAATAGCTTGCAACTCTCGAAATTGAACATAGTCTAACTGGAAAATTCAGATGACACAAGTGTAGTTAGAGGAAGCGTTTTATAGGGCGTGGTGAGTTTTTTTTAAAAAAAAAGGGGTGTTTTTAGTCATTATGGCATTAGTTTTACGAGTAGGAAATAACCAGATGTAAAGAAAACATAAATAGCAGTTCAGAAGTTGGGAAAAAATCATCACTGTTTCCCCTTCCCAATCGCTTGTTTTGCATTTTTTCAGAGTCTACTTATTAAAAATTTTGAATACTCAACTAAAAATATGTAGTTTGGCATTAGTTGCCTTAAAGCTTTTACAAGTATTGGATGGAAGATGTTTGAAAGAGGGCGAGATCATTTGCTAACCGAAAGCTGAATCACTCAATCTAATTATAAACTAATATAATGCCGAATATTTGATTGTGATTGTAAACTGTGTAAATGCTCTACTCTTTGTTAAGGTAAAAACCAAGTAGCTTAATGTGATAAGTATATGTTCTATGAGGTCATCAAATTCTGTACTCTTGAGGGATGGAACCCTCCCCCAGGTTCCCTGTGTATATATCCTACATGACTGTAAGAGAATATTGAATAAATCTCTTAAAGTTTAAATATTAGAACATAATTCCTTTCCCTATATCATTCAAAAAATAAATATTTGAATAAAGCTATCAAGCCTCAACTACTTTAGCATTGTCAAAATATAGCAAAGCATACAAATTCCACCAGATGCAATAAGGAAAGCACGTTGATCAAGGTAAGGGCTACTAGACTGCTCTATGATAATGATAATTTAATATGCCACCAATGCTTAATAGACATCATGCAAATTACCATTACGGTACATTATGTATAATAAACAGTATTAACAATTAAAAACAAAATTAAGAAGTCCACTATATAGGCTTGTAGAGTGTAAATCAATCATCACCTATGGTGTATCCAGACATCAATGTAGATTGAGACCTTGGTATATGTAGCCTCTGATATGACAAATGCTCTTTATTTTATGGTTGAATGAGACATTTTATTAAGAATAAAAAATAAAATAGTCAGTATAATAGTTCAAATAACAGCATAGCCAGACCAGCTCGCCTAAGTCAAGAGGGAAAAAGAAAAAGCCAAAAATATACCATGATCCGATGTAAAAAAAATGGTCTCCAAACCACGTGCTATAGAACCCGAATAATGAAATGGTACTGAGAGAGGCGTACTAATAACATGATCAGAAATAAACAACATTTATTTGAAATCAAGAAGCCCACAATAAATCTCATTTGAGCAAAGTTGGAAATTGAATGAAGCACAGCTTTACATGTCTGTATCATGAGAACGGGCATATATACCCATTCGCGCACAATTTTTCAAAAACAGTAATTTTTTCCATGGCATATACGCAAATCTAGCTTAGAATCCATTGTTAGGCCACACCCTACATATTTGTATTATAAAAAGCAGAGTTTGGGCTTGCTTTTAAATCTGTTGTATCTGAATGTGCCATTGTTCTCGGAGAACATGCCAAACATCTCGAGAGAAAGAGTACAGTCAAATCGAAACCATTGTGCTTGAATTGGCATTACACAAACTTCATTTGATATAAAAACTTTTTCTTTTTTCTTGATGTATCCATTTGGTCATCTTCTTTTCTCCTTTTCCCCCTGTCAACAAGTATGATTTACCAAGATCAAAGTTTAGAAACATCCGAATATGCGATTGTTCGATGGTTTGGTTTCGATGCATTTGTGCCTGAGCATTCAGTTACTTCCCACTGGGTTTCATCGAAAACTTTCTTCATTATTCGATCAGTTTTGACGTTGTATTCTACAATTGTGCTTTGGACAGATATTGGGATTAATAGAAGTGGAACATTTTTTCATTATTTCACATCAATGACATTTATCGGTCTGCATGCATATCAAGTCGTAAGTACAGCGGGCAAATCGATTACTTGTGCTGATATAACCAAAAAATTTAGACTTCATTAATTCATCATTTTCGCTACCTTTATACAAAGAAGGTTTCCTTCTTCTTGGAACAGTATGCATTTTTGAATTATCTTTATGTATACTTATACTCCACTGTTATAACATTCAAGTAAGGAGCATTCATGCCCTAAAAAAAGTACACGCATAAACAGTAGCAATTGAATTAACCCAATTACAAGTATTGTAACTCCTGTAGTGTACTGGGCTATCTTGGCAAAGGGAATGGCAGCTAGTATGTATACAATGATTTATTTCTCAATACGCAAAATAGACTTATAACCTAAACAGCAAATACTGTCGGTACGTGGTTGAATGTTTCTGTGCACGGTGTTTCCTTTTTCTTGATGATCATTGATGTTCTTCTGAATCGAATGAGGATTTCTGTCCGCATGGTTATTTTTCCCTTGGTCACAATGATTTGTTACATGCTGTTTGCTTTTATTGTTTATGCTGTGTAAGTGCTACAAACATCTCAGTATTGGTGAAACAGTTTCTGACTTTAATTGAAATTATTACTTATTAGTCAAGGCATTTGGATTTACCCCTTTTTAAATTGGCAGCAAGGTTCTTCAGCTGCCATTTGGTATTTTGCAGTTGCCATCATTTGTGTAGTAATATTTTTCATCCAAGTATTGATCCATTGGGGTCGAGATTATGTTGCTCGTAAAGCAGGTAAAGCTGACAGTCCTGAGATCAACGAGAAAGTCAACGATCAATACGAAAATTCCCCAGCAAAACTTGAAGCTGGAGATTCTCCAAATGTTGCTTAGCTCGTAGAAATTCTGCACATCCCTATTCAATGATGTCAGTTTACTTGGCGAAGTCTATGTATGCTTCTTTTTGTGCAAATTTCTTATGCCCTTTTATTTTTAAGCCATCCCATCATAATTTTTATATGGATAAACAACTTTAAGCGTATCATACGCAATTTTATGCATGAATGAAAATTACAAGAAATATTTAAGTCTATATTACATCCAACCTTGAGCAGTTGGATTCCATGATGCTTGAGAGGTTACTTGCACGTTTGATGTTGATTGTTGCGGGAGTAAGTAAGCGGTCCAATCATCTAATTCAATACTGCTAGGAACAGCCCAGAAGGGATTATCAGGTCTATTCCTAAATATAGTTTGATCTAAGAGATTGTTGGATGTTGTAGCTGGTGATGACTGAGTAGTAAAAGAGTTTGTAGTTGGTGTATTATTAGTATTATTAGTATTGATTGTTACATTGTTGGTATTTGTATTGGGAACTGCCTCATAGGCTGTTATTGTAGGTTGAGAATTCACTGGTGCGGAAAATCCATTATCGGCCAAGCCAAACAAAAAGCTATCGGACGGATTCATAGGAGGCATGAAGGGTAGCATGTTGCCATTGATATTTGCATTTACTTGGTAGGAGGGCTGAAAATTGAATGCTTGATTATTATTATTTATAGGAGCAGACGTTGATTCTGTTGCCAAGCCAAATTGTCTCAAAGAATAAGGCTCTGGATCTTGATAGTTGTTTGATTCTTGATAGTTGTTTGATACATGTGATAGCTGTTGCTGCTGTTGCAATTGTTGTTGCAGTTGCTGATAGTGTCTTTGATTTTGGTCCAGTTGTTGTTGCTGTTGTTGTTGCTGCTGTTGGATTTGCTGCTGCTGAGCATTCACTGCAACAGAAAGTTAGCATCATTCACATTAGTACTGCCGAAAATTGAATTTTACCTTGGTCTATTGTGTCATTTTGCAGCGAAGAATACAAGCCATTTATCCAGTCTCCATTATTCGTAGAGGATGGAGTAGAGTTAGGACTATTATGCATATCTGGATCTGATACTATTGTCAATGAAGGAGATGCAATTTCAGTAGACGAAGCTCTGGCATTAAGATGAGATTTGGCACTGTTCTGACTAATGTTATTTCCACGATCAACATCAAATGATCTCCCTGCGCTGTCAAAGCTGTTGTTGTTATTATCTTCCAAGACTTTAGCATCCTTTTTTAGCTTCGCATTAAACGCTTTACGGGCAGAGCACCTGTTGTCCAAACAAGCAGAGCGATCTCGAGTGGCACGATCGTCATCATCATCGTCGAAGACTGATTTGTCAATGCTGATTTCACGAATTCTTGTTAGTTGACGTAGTACATCATAAAGTTGAGCAGCGCCTATCGATAGCTTTGAGAGACGCTTAATAACAGCACAAGCCTTGGCGAGGTTAGTCTTTGCAATGTCTGATACAATATTGTCCGGATTTGTAGCGTTGTAAATGTGAATTAGCGATGCCGTAAAGACAGGATAAATAGCAAAATTCCAGGAAACAAGTAAGAAATCGCGGTAATGCATTTTTTCAGCGATATCAACACATCTAGTAGCTGCGCTTGTGCAGATACTCAAGGATGACTGGGATGATCTCGTTTTTTGGCTGCCATCTTTCTCAATAAAAGGTCGGTGGAGCAGTATTAGTAGTGTGCAATAGGACAAGTACATCAACCCTGCAACATGAATCCAATTAGAGTTAATTTAGACACTACAATGTAGTATTTTACCTGACATGGATAGTAGAGGCGTACGGCCATGACTATCTAATCTACGGACGTTAAAGCTAGAAATCTGAAGTGCAGGTGGTAAAGCAGCACGCCATTCAGAAAGAGCGTTATCAAGGTATGTAACCACTGCATCACTGCCATGCTTTTCGCTGTGTTTTTTTGCCAGAGGAGTGTACAGGCCCTGGAGCAATCGGCCGAGTATTTCAGACAACTTGACAAGTTGTACAAATGGTTGATAAATAGGAATATTTTCATTTTTTGCTTTCTGAGCAACACTTT